GGTACGCGGCGCATCAGATCAACCTTCACCCCAGGGTCTCCATGCCGGAGACCTCCCCAGCTTTGCTGTGGACGGGGAAGGTTGGCGATGCGTCTGCGTTCCGTGTCTGGGGATCTCGGGCGTTTGTCCGCGACTTGTCTGCGGACAAGCTGTCCCCTCGTGCTGCTCCTTGCGTCTTCCTTGGCTTCCCCCCTGACGCGCCAGGGTGGCAGTTCTACCACCCCACCTCTCGCCGTGTTCTGTCCTCCCAGGACGTCACGTTTGACGAGTCGGTCCCCTACTACCGCCTCTTCCCCTACCGCACTCCGTCCCTCCCCCCGCCACCGCTCTTCCTTGTGCCAGGTCCCCCCCCGGTAGACCCCCTCCCCCCTCAGGGTCCTGCCCCTTCAGGTGTGTCCCAGGTAGACGCAGTCGAGCCTGTCGAGGTTACTGGTGACTCTGGTGCTGCTGAGGGTGCTGAGCCTGGGGGTGCTGACTCTGGGGGTGCTGAGCGTGTGGGTGCTACGCCTGGGGGTGCTGAGCCTGAGGGTGCTACTACTAGGGGTGCTGAGCCTGGGGGTGCTGAGCCTGGGGGTGCTACGCCTGGGGGTGCTGAGCCTGGGGGTGCTACGCCTGGAGGTGCTGAGCCTGGGGGTGCGGAGCCTGAGGGAGCTGGGCGTGCTCGTGTGGCGTCTGGCGGTGCTGAGCCTGGAGGTTCTCCGGGTGCTTCGTCTCGGCGGGAGCCACTCTCTCCACAGGAGCTGCGAGAGTGGTTTGCCCGACGCTGGAGGCGTGCTGCTGGAGCTGGAGGTTCTTCGACTGCTGCGGGTGCTGGTGCCGCGGGTCCCGGAGGTACTCGTACTGGGAGTCCTGGAGCTGCTGGGCCTGCGGGTACGCCTGGAGCTGGAGCTGCTGAGGGTGTTGGCGCTGAGGCTACTGCTGTCGGTCCTGGAGGCGGTCCTGCTGGGGGTGCTCCTGGTGCTGCTGGAGGTACTGGAGCTGGAGGTGCTGCTGGCGCTGGTGCTGCCGCTGGGGGTACTGGTGCTGTCCCTGCTGTGTCTGGAGTCGCCGCGCGGCCTCGGCCGTACTTCGTTCCGCTCCTTCAGCAGGTTCTTGGTCTCCCGCCTTCTACTGGTCCTCCTCCTCCCTTAGAGTGTCCACAGCCTGTCCCGTCCCAGTTACAGTTACAGCCGGCCTTCACACTGCCCGCTCCTTCTCCCTACACTGGTCCTACTGGAGGTCTGGCTGAGCGTCGTGAGCCTGCGTCTCGCCCTGCGTCGCCTCTCCGTCTTGCTCGCACTAGTGGCCGTGGTTCGCGTCAGCGTCCTCCTCCTGTCCCTGGCACGCACCGGATGTCTCTGTGTCCGTCCACTGCTCCTCTGCGTGCCCCTTTGCCTTCTCCTCCTGAGTCCTCTCTTCCTGCTCTTCCCGACCCGGAGTCGGACTCTCTTCGTGCTGCCAGTCCTACTGTCACGCGTCTCCTTGCTACTGTCGTCACTGACCCTTCCTTTGAGTCCACTGCTGCGTCTGCCCTAGTTGCTGAGCTCGTCGACTTTGCTGCTCGCTGTCGTCTAGACTACGCTGCTAGTCTTGTCGTTGCGTCTGAGTCTGTCTGTCCTCCGTCCGTCGGGGGTGAGTGTGCCCTTGGCACGGACGTCCTTGAGGACAGGCAGGAGGAGTTCCAGTGTTTGGCTGCTGCTTCACCTCATCTCATGTCCGTACTGCTTACCCCTGAGGGAGACCCGGATGCACTTGACATCCCGACTCCGCGCTCTTACGCGGAGGCGATAGAGGGTCCCTACTCCTCTCAGTGGCAGGCAGCTATGGACACAGAGATGGCTTCCTGGAAGTCCACAGGCACCTACGTTGACGAGGTTCCCCCGCCTGGGGCGAACATCGTCAGTGGCATGTGGATTTTCAGGGTGAAGCGACCGCCGGGTTCTCCACCTGTCTTCAAGGCACGTTACGTGGCTCGTGGCTTCAGTCAGCGGCAGGGAGTTGACTACTTTCAGACCTTCTCTCCCACCCCGAAGATGACCACTCTTCGGGTACTGCTGCACATAGCTGCTCACCGCGACTACGAGCTGCACTCTCTTGACTTCAGCACTGCTTTCTTGCAGGGCAGCCTGCACGAGGAGATCTGGCTGCGTCGCCCACCTGGCTTCACTGGGTCTTTTCCTCCTGGCACCCAGTGGAGCCTCCGGCGGCTAGTCTACGGTCTCCGCCAGGCACCGCGTGAGTGGCACGACACACTGAGGACTACACTTGCGGCTCTTGGGTTTGCTCCCTCTACTGCCGACCCGTCGCTGTTTCTGCGCACCGACACTTCTTTGCCGCCGTTCTACATCCTCGTGTACGTCGACGACTTGGTCTTTGCCACAGCTGACACTGCTGGACTCGCCCACGTGAAGTCCGAGCTGCAGAAGAGACACACGTGCACAGACCTGGGTGAACTGCGCAGCTACCTTGGCTTGCAGATCACCCGGGACAGAGCACGCCGCACCATTACCCTGACTCAGTCACACATGGTGCAGCAGGTCCTTCAGCGCTTCGGCTTCACGTACTCCTCGCCTCAGGCCACTCCTCTGCCTACTCGCCACTCGCTCTCAGCTCTGCCTTCGGATGAGTCCGTAGAGTCGAGTGGCCCGTACCCAGAGCTTGTTGGCTGCCTCATGTACCTGATGACCTGCACACGACCTGACCTCGCATACCCTCTTAGCATTCTCGCACGCTATGTTGCTCCTGGGAGACACAGACCGGAGCACATGGCTGCAGCGAAGAGGGTGTTGCGTTACTTGTGCAGTACGTCGGGCATGGGGCTTGTGCTTGGAGGGCAGAGTCCAGTGGTCCTCACTGGGCACGCAGACGCTTCTTGGGCTGACGACCAGGCTACGCAGCGGTCGTCACAGGGTTACACCTTCAGCCTTGGTTCCGGCTCTGTTTCGTGGCGGGCTACCCGCTCGTCTTCTGTTCTCGGCTCCAGTTGTGAGGCTGAGATCTACGCCGGGGCCATGGCTGCACAGGAGCTTTGCTGGCTCACCTACCTGCTGACTGACCTCGGAGAGCCGCCTCGTTCTCCTCCAGTGCTGTACGTAGACAACAAGGCCATGCTGGCCTTGTGTCGAGAGCAGAGACTGGAGCACAGAACGAAGCACATTGCTCTCCGCTACTTCCTTGCTCGTGAGCTACAGCAGCGTGGTCAGCTGCGGCTTGCGTACGTGGCCTCTCAGGCCAACACTGCTGATATCTTCACCAAGGCACTTGCGCCTTGTGATCATCAGCGCTTCTGTACTCAGCTGGGTCTTGTGCCTACCTTGCCTCACTTGCTCACCCCTTGACCTTGTTTGTACTGTTGCATATATATATACACCTGCTCTTGCTTGTCTAGCCTTATATATATATGTAATCCTGCATGTGAACTGGCCTTGTGGCCTTGAACTTGTGCTCGGAATGTGTGGTGACTTTGTGATCCACCCTGAGCTTGCTTTACTGTGCTTGACTGGTCTTGTGACCCCTTGTTCTCCCCCACTTTGCCTATGGGGGTGTGTCAGATTTATATGACATAGCTACTGTAGGCTATAGTGGGGTAGCACATATGGGGTACAGTTTTCTAGGGTTTACATTTGTACCCTACTTTCCCTTAGTCCATCCATTCTCGTTTCTATTATAACACGAACAGACATGAACGCGCACGCAAACAAGCACAGAGAGATACAGGTACCGTAATAAACACACAACCGTCATAAATAAAATTCAGAAATGCATAAATAATTGCTAATCTATCCCACCTTACCCTCCCTACAACCCTCCCTCCCTCCTTCCCTCATCTCCATCCCATTCCCTCATCTCCCTTCTCAGCTCTCGCATGCGCCCTGCACAAAGCAAAATCAGAGAAGTCAACACACACACGCACAGGAAAAAACAGGGAAGTCAACACACACACGCCCTGCACAGAGTAAAAACAGGGAAGACACAACACATACGCCCTGCACAAAGACAAAACAGGGAAGTCAACACACACACGCCCTGCACAAAGTTAAAACAGGGAAGTCAACACACACACTCCCTGCACAAGAAAGCAAGAACAAAGAAAGCAAAACACACCTTACACAAAAACAGTGTATGTTTACACACTGTGCACAAGAAAGCAAAAACAGGATACTGCAATATACGTGCTCTTACAGGAGGCCAAGCAAGAAATACAAATCACCCTCCCTCACATGCATTGCACAAGGCGTCAACGCATAGCAGACAGGCGCCACTGCAATGCAGTGCACGGGTGCGCTGCGAGGCGCCGACCGATGAACTCCAGAAAGGCGCCAGCGTTCGGCAACGCACCCGCCCGCTTTAAGCAGTAAGCGTCCCAGGGTTGGTGGATAGGCGTCCAAGGCCATGAGCGCTTCAGGTACGAGCTCCACAGGGCTCAGAACACTAGGTGCCAGCGCCCAAGCGTTAGATCCCGCTGCGCGAGCGTGCTAGGCACTAGCTCACTCGATGCCAGCAGCCTAGACGAGCGTCTGAGGCGCCAACACCTTTGAAGCCGGCACTCTGAGCGCCAGCGCAGAAAGCGACACTCGTTTGCATAAGTAACCCCAATTGCCCAAGCACCAGCAGAATAGATGCTAGAGCTTACGTCCTATCGTGCTCATGCGCCATCTCATGCGCTCTCTCACGCGCTCTCTCACGCACTCACTCATGCGCTCTCTCACGCGCTCTCTCACGCACTCACTCATGCGCTCTCTCACGCTCTCTCACGCTCTCTCACGCGAACTCTCACGCGCTCTCTCACGCGCTCTCTCACGCTCACCCTCACGCGCTCCCTCGCGCGCACTCTCACTCGCACGCGCTCTCTCATGGGCTCTCTCATGCGCTCTCTCACGTGCTCTCACGCGCTCTCTCACGCGCACTCTCACGCGCTGTCTCACTCGCACTCTCACGCGCACTCTCACTCGCTCTCTCACGCGCACTCTCACGCGCTCTCTCACTCGCACTCTCACGCTCTCTCTCACGCACTCACTCACATGCTCTCTAATGCGCTCTCTCACACACTCTCTCACGCGCTCTCTCACGCGCACTCTCACGCGTACTCTCACGCGCTCTCTCACGCGCTCTCTCACGCGCTCTCTCACGCGCTCGCTCACGCGCTCGCTCACGCGCTCTCTCACGCGCTCTCACGCACTCTCTCACGCACTCTCTCACGCGCTCTTTTATGCGTCTCTCACGCGCTCTCTCACGCGCTCTCTCATGTGCTTTCTCACGTGCTGTCTCTCACGCACTCACTCATGCGCTCTCTCACGCGCTCTCTCACGCGCTCCTTCACGCGCACTCTCACGTGCACTCTCACGCGCACGCGCTCTCTCATGGCCTCTCTCACGCGCTCTCTCACACGCTCTCTCACGTGCGCTCTCTCACGCGCTCTCTCACGCGCTCTCTCACGCGCTCTCTCACGCTCATTCTCACGCTCTCTCTCACGCACTCCCTCACGCGCACTCTCACGCGCATTCTCACGCGCACGCGCTCTCTCATGGGCTCTCTCACGCACTCTCTCACGCGCTCTCTCATGGGCTCTCTCACGCGCTCTCTCACTTGCACTCACTCACATGTCCTCTAATGCGCTCTCTCACGCGCACTCTCACGCGTACTCTCACGCGCTCTCTCACGCGCTCTCTCACGCGCTCTCTCACGCGCTCGCTCACGCGCTCTCTCACGCGCTCTCTCACGCGCTCGCTCACGCGCTCGCTCACGCGCTCTCTCACGCGCTCTCACGCACTCTCTCACGCACTCTCTCACGCGCTCTTTTATGCGTCTCTCACGCGCTCTCTCACGCGCTCTCTCATGTGCTTTCTCACGTGCTGTCTCTCACGCACTCACTCATGCGCTCTCTCACGCGCTCTCTCACGCGCTCCTTCACGCGCACTCTCACGTGCACTCTCACGCGCACGCGCTCTCTCATGGCCTCTCTCACGCGCTCTCTCACACGCTCTCTCACGTGCGCTCTCTCACGCGCTCTCTCACGCGCTCTCTCACGCTCATTCTCACGCTCTCTCTCACGCACTCCCTCACGCGCACTCTCACGCGCATTCTCACGCGCACGCGCTCTCTCATGGGCTCTCTCACGCACTCTCTCACGCGCTCTCTCATGGGCTCTCTCACGCGCTCTCTCACTTGCACTCACTCACATGTCCTCTAATGCGCTCTCTCACGCGCTCTCTCACGCGCTCTCTCACGCGCTCTCTCATGGGCTCTCTCACTCGCACTCTCACGCGCTCTCTCACGTGCTCTCTCTCACGCACTCACTCACATGTCCTCTAATGAGCTCTCTCACGCGCTCTCTCATGCGCTCTCTCATGCACTCTCTCATGCGCTCTCTCATGCGCTTTCTCATGGGCTCTCTCTCACGCACTCACTCATGCGCTCTGTCACGCGCTCTCATGCGCTCCCTCACGCGCGTGCTCCCTCGCGCGCACTCTTACACGCACGCGCTCTCTCATGGGCTCTCTCACACGCTCTCTCACGCACTCTCTCACGTGCGCTCTCCCATGCGCTCTCTCACGTGCTCGCTCACGCGCTCTCTCACGTGCTCTCTCTCACGCACTCCCTCACTTACACTCAAACCCCCACCCACACTGACCCGCGCACCCACACTCACCTACGCACTCACACTCACCCCCGCACCCACACTCACCCATGCACTCACATTCACCTGCGCACTCACACTCACCCGAGCAGTCACACTCACCTCCGCACTCACTCTCACCTCCGCACTCACACTCACCCCCGCACTCACACACACTCACCCCTCCACTCACACTCACCCGCGCACTCACCCGTCGTGAATGATACGCGATGCGGAGGAGAGGCGACGGAGAGGATGCGCGAAGGGGCGGAAGCGTCGGGGATGAGAGGCGACAGTGGGGGAGCGATGGAGAGGAGAGGCGACGGGGAGGAGCGACGGTGGGGGAAACGACGGGGAGGAGCGACGGTGGGGGAAACGACGGGGAGGAGTGACGGTGGGGGAAACGACGGGGAGGAGTGACGGTGGGGGAAATGACGGGGAGGAGCGACGGTGGGGGAATCGACGGGGAGGAGCGACGGTGGGGGAGGAGCGACGGCGAGGGAGGCGACGGGCATGAAAGGCGACGGTAGGGAAGGCGACGGTGGGGGCGGCGACGGTGGGGGAGTGACGGGGAGGAGAGGCGACGGTGGGGGAGTGACGGGGAGGAGAGGTGACGGTGGGGAAGGCGACAGTGGGGGCGGCGACGGTGGGGGAGGCGAAAGTGGGGGAAACGTGGGGGATGAGAGTCGACGGGGAGGAGGCGCGACGAGGAGGAAACGCGATTGGGAGGAGGTTCGACGGGGAGTAAATGCGACCGGGAGGCGGGGTAAACGGGGAGGAAATGCGACGGGGAGGAGGCGTGACGACGAGGAAACGCGACGGGGAGGAGGGGCGACGATGAGGAAAAGCGATGGGGAGGAGGGGCGGTGGGGAGGAGATTCGACGGTTGTACGTGGTACTAAGACAATGCAAGTTAATGGGTTAGGTACTACAGACTAAAAACTGGAAGATGAAGAAGAGCGACTGAAAGGTGAGCGACTGAAAGATGAGCTACTGAAGCAAGAAACTCGAATTTGTTTTGAGAAAAGCATCACGATGGCGATGCACTTCGGCTGGACACTTTCGGGGCTGGTCCAAAACAAAATTTCTGTTTGAACCAGTACAAAACGAAAAGCCTAGGTACCAACCAAGGCAAAACCATCAGACATGAAACGTCATGTGCCTACTCGAGAACGAAATAAAAAGCTGGGCACTTCAAAATCGAAAACACCTCATTGAGGGGGCGTCACGTGAAGACACACACTTGAAATTTCCAACTCAATATAAAGCTGACACATTTCATGTGCATAATGAGTCAGTTGCAGAACAACTCGACTGAACCACAACCCCTCTATAGCAAAATCACTAGTTTGTTTAATGTAACATTGTTAACTTAGTATTGATAAAATCATATTCTAGAATGATCACTACCCACTCAACAATCTGGAGTAGTACCTATGGTATTTTGTTGCCGATAAAGAGAAGAACGTATTGCATGGCCTATGTAAATCTAACGTAGTACATTTTCCCATACGATAATATTAGTGTTGTGTCCGGTGTTAAATTCTACGCAACCCTTACGACGTTCACGTCGAGCCTTGTTATTTAAGAGGGTGGTTTGGGGTGGGTGCTCCAAATGCTGACGAATTTATTGGCGGGGTTCGCTTAAGTGTTACATATTTCGCACTCGCCAGAAACGCCCAAACAATCGACCATAGCGTTTGGTCGTAACAATTTTACACGCCCTTAGAGACCATGGATGGAAAGGAACTCCTTTCTAAAGAACTATACACTGTTGTATCCGCTTGACCAACCACGTTGGCTAGCAATAAGTTCGTTGGTCCGTACTTTCTTCGTGATTATTCGCACCGCAGTCTTGCGTCAGTTTGGACTCGCGTCACGTGCCGTTTGCAGCTTACGTCTTCTCGCCGTAAGTAGCTCTAGCCTTCACGACGTACTTCTAGGTTCGATTCCCGAGATGCCGTCCAGATCGCCGTCTCCGCGCAGGCGGAGCCGCAGCCGCAGCCCTGTCCGCAGTCCCGTCAAGCGGCGAAGCCCTAGTCGGAGCCCGGTGCGGGGACGCAGCAGGAGCCCAATTCGCCGGCGCAGCCGAAGCCCCGTCAGGAGTCCCGTTAGAAGCAGAAGCCGCAGCCCTTATAAGTGTCGGTCCAGGAGTCCTGTAAGGGGGCGGAGCCGGAGTCCGCCGTTCAGGCGCGGAAGCCCCCGCGGGCGGAGCCCTCCGCCGAGAAGCCCGGACCTGGAGTAAGCCGCGTACAGTTATCCATTTCGCGTTTTTTTTTTCTTTACAATTATCGTTGAGTTTCGCAGCTTTTCTTGCCGAGTCTAGTTTAATTAAACAATAGCTTACGATGCAGAAACGTGTCGCTATATGTCCTGCAGACTTGTGCTCGTTCGTTCTTTTGCCTGATGATGGCTCCTCCTTTCGTACCGCTTTGGTTTCAGCGACGAGTCAAGGAACCCTGGAAACAACTTGTACGTGACCGGCCTGTCCATGCGGACGGCAGAGGCGGAGCTGGAGAAGCATTTCGCGAAGGAAGGAAAGGTATTACAGTTCTCCAAGCATGCGTGATGCAGCTCTTATTACCGCTTTTCTCTACTCATCGTGCGTAACGCAACTTTGCCTTCTATTAAATTAATTTATTGAAAGAGCGGAAACTAGTGAGTCTATTTATGAGCGATTCTTTGTTACCGCTCACCTCTTGACTTCCTACATCCACCCTCGCTTCCTGGAAGACTGATTACCAACGCTCATCTTTCTTTCTTTCTTTCCACGTGTTTCGTATTCCGCAGGTGGCGGAGTGCAGGCTGGTCCTTGACCCGCGCACCAAGGAGTCTCGCGGCTTCGCGTTCGTCACCATGGAGAACGTCGACGACGCGCGCCGCTGCCTCAAGTACCTCGACCGCTCCATCCTCGAAGGCCGCGTCATCACCGTCGCGCTCGTACGTTCGTCACCGATTTCTGAAACTCTGTTGAATTGAATTTTCCCGTTTTCGCCTCCCTCTCTGTGCGCAGTTCTATGTTTTTTGCGACGCTGGTTTCAATCACCGTCTGGTTCCTGTTTCACGTTTTTTGCCAGCTATGTGTGAGGTTGACGTTTCTCGTCCTCCCTCTCTCTTCTCTCCACCATCTCCGCTCTCTCCCGTCTGCCTACCCAGCGTGGGTTAGACCAATGCTGCTCCGCCACCCGTCCCCTATTCGTCTCCCACATTCAATGCCCCTTAGCGGCCTCGACATTAGCGGCCTCAACCCTAGCCGCGTCGACCCTAGCGGCCTCGACGTAGCGCCAACCAACCTCCAAACACTTGCAATTCATATGCTACGTCAACCAACCCCAACAATTCTGCCTGCACCAACGAACAAGATTCGCATGTACCTCACCAGCACTGCAAGCGGCCAATACTGCTGCAAGCAACCCCCCTTTCGGCATCAATTTCTGCTTCAATATAAGCCTCTGCCTCGATTACATGCTGATCGAGTCTGCTCAGCGTCGAGCGACCGATGTAGCGGCTGCAAATCAGATCCTGCCTCAACCCCAACCCCAATGCCTATTGTTACGCCTCCCCAACAGCTCCTTCGACCCCGATCCAAGCATGCGCTACTGGTGGTGTTACTTGCTTGTTGTCCCCATTTTCTAATGACATTGCATGCATTACACGAGTCTATGCATCTTGTTTTCTTCATTCACATCGCCTCTCCCATAGTGTTTGCCCTAAAATTTGCATTTTGTCAGAGAAGGTTTGTTTTTCACCGTAAGCGTCCATCTGCCTCAAGAGGTTGGTAGTTGGTGGTTTTTAACCTTCTTTGTCAATCCTGTGTTTTCAACAGGCGAAGAGAAAGCGCGCTCGAACCCCAACTCCTGGCAAGTTCCTGGGCACTCGTAGCCTGAAGGAGGCTGTTGTGGTTGGCGGTGGTAAGTGTAGGCTCTTCCCAGTATATTACTTGTATTAATTTTGGCCCCACCTTTTTTTTTTGTATGATGTAACTTGGAAGCTCATGTAAGTTTGTTAACGTGGGTTGAATGCTCAAAGTAATTTGTCATCTTTGTCTATTCTGCTCTCCTTAATGTTTACCGTTCTTAGCAGACCGCAGTTATGGTGGCGACAGGGAGTTCAATCCCCGCCGATCATCACCAGACTACCAGCCCTACCGCCGAGACAGATCACCGGATTATGGCCCCTATCGTGGAGCAGGTTACAGGTACGTTTGCATGGCTTCAGCATGTGTTACAGTTTTGCCTGCAGTAATTGCTGGAGTGATAAGTATTTGTTGGCAGCATTGTGGCTTGCATTTCTCACATGTTGAACCTGTGGGGAAATGTGATGTGGAGGTTTTCAGCAGTGTCCATGTAACGTTCCCTGACAGCATTCCCACCCACCCATCCCAATTTCCTGCTTTCTCTCTGCTCCAGGTAAAATATGTTGTAATCAAGATGTGTGGTATTGACAGGATAACGATTCCGAAGCTTTACAGTCCAAGTTTACTAGTCTGCTGCTATTTTATAACGAATAGGCTGTAATTTTTTTTTGTGATTTTGCTAAATATGGTAGCTTATACTGGTGTATAGGTGGCTTGCATTGCATGCACCGTTATTTCCAATTTTAATTACTCACGAGAATTCCAGTGAACAAGCAATTGGAGCAATCTCGAATCTGTACTATCGAGGACAATCTGATGATGAAGTGTGACTTCTGCCAGTTCGCCACCCAATCACGACGCAGCCGAATGCCTTGTTCTTGGCGGGAAAAGCGGCACGCTCGAGTTCAGCTCGGACAAACTAGAATCTAGGAGAAAACAAGATTAGCAGACGGCACACCACCAGTAACAGTGAGCTCCTAAATTAGTCCGAGAGTACCGAGGAAAGCAAGGACGGATTAGTTTTACTGTCGCTGACGCGCTCCGGTTGTTTGGGCCTCCGGAATTCATAAATTATTAGCATTGCTTACGGCGTGTACCCTCCTGCAGATTTTGGTATTATCTTTCCTCATTTTTTTTTTTGTTAGGCCTTCGTTTCCCGCCGTTTTCCACAAGCGGCCTCGCTTCATAAAGAATCGCATCTGCGTAATCAAAATCATGGTTCGTCGGAAGCCTTTTCGAATTGCGATTCCGGATGTCGCGGTAGCTCTGTTCGTCGCGTGTCTAGCCGCTTCTGTCTCCCACGTGGCTGCGATATCCAGTGACGCGCAAGACGAAGAGATGCTCATAGGATGGAAGGGGGAAAGGTGGGTGTAGCTGTTGCTGACGTGTATATTGCTATTGGGATGATCAGGATTGCCTCTAGTAGGCTGTCGCGTCTCCCTTTTTGCAGGCTTATCCCGTCGACTCCTTTTGCCTTTTCACCACATAGCTTTGATTCAAGTGGTAAAGTCGATGAATAGTACTTATTTCATGGATAGGACTCACCTCATCTCCACATTTGTATCTGTTTGCAATGCTTTCCATCCCTCTGTATCTCCTCGTGTCACTTTGTGCTGTTAGCGTTTCGCCAAGCTGCCTCAACTCAACCAGTGAATCCAATTCATCTCAGCAGCAATGGATATACCTCATCTCATAAGAGCCCGGAATTCCTGTCACATCCGTATTCATTTGCACCGCTTTCTATCCCTTTATATCCCCTCGTGTCCCTTCATGCTCTTTGCGTCCCTCCAAGCAGGTTCAACTCAGCCAGTGAAGACGATCCATCTCAGCTCATCTCGTGGGAGCCCAGGGCCTTCTTCTTCATCGCTTTGCACCTCTTTGTATTCTTTCGCATCCGTCTTCATACCTTTGCATCCATTTGTGCCCCTTACGTATCCCCAAACAGCTACAACTCATCAAGTGAGGACGATCCATCCCAGCGGCAATGGATAGAGCTCATCTCGTGGGAGCCCAGGGCCTTCCTGTTCCACAATTTCTTGGTAGGATCATTTAAGGTTTCTTTTTGTATCAGTATCAGTGTCTTTCAAACCCGCCCAGGGCCTTCCTCTTCCACAATTTCCTGGTAGGATTCTTCAAGAATCGGTTTCTGTATCAGCGTTTTGACTTTTGAGTCGACTCAAAAGTCAATTTCCTGGTAAGATTCTTCAAGTGTCTGTTTTTGTATCAGCGTTTTGTGACGAGCCAAAATCATCCAGGTGCTTCCTCTTCCACGATGTACAATTAGGCTTTTGTAACATTTTTTCTTATAGCAACATCCCTAACCCACCTTACCCATCTTTAGCCGTCCATACCCATCCGTACCACTGCAGACTGCCAAGGAGTGCCTGCGTTTGATTCACAAAGCAGCGCCCAACATGGTCAAGTCAAACGTCAGCTAATGTATTCCTCTCCTTGCCAATCTCCCCCCATTGCTTCTCATCCTTACCCATCCGTACCACTGCAGACTGCCAAGGAGTGCCTGTATCTGATTCACAAAGCAGCGCCCAACATGGTCAAGTCAACTGTAGTGGACAGCGACTCAGGTGTCCTCTACCTACTCATCCTTACCCATCCCCACCCATCCCAACCCATCCGTATCACCACAGACTGCCAAGGAGTGCCTGTATCTGATTCACAAAGCAGCGCCCAACATGGTCAAGTCGACTGTAGTTGACAGCGATTCAGGCGGCTCCTACAGCAGCAAGTGAGTCGTCTTGTAACGAGTATGGGCAAGGATCAGTGTAGGCTGCTCCTACAGCAGCAAGGGAGTCTTCCTGTAACGAGTATGGGCAAGGGTCAGTCTAGTATAAGTGGTGTTGCAGTTTCGGATAGCAAGGCCGAGGTGGTGGCGTACATCAAGACAGGAACATCTGGACTTACTCTCTGTGATATAGAATTCTCAAAAACCAGGTGGTGGCGTATATTAAGACAGGAACAGCTGGACTTACTCTCCATGATTGCCATGGTTTCTGTTGTGCCAGGATTCGGACATGCTCGGGCTCGTGTCTATCGCAAAAATAGGACGAGAACTGTGGCCGGTTTTTGGCATATGTGCCTGGGATTGTGCTGGTGGTTTCTGTTGTGGCAGGATTCGGTCGAGCTCGGGCTCGTGTCTATTGCGGGATCAGACAAGGTGGAGATGTGACTTCCATAGACCTAGAGAGTCAATGGTATCTGGTTTTCCGCGTTTTTGTCTGTTCTGACAGGATCCGGACGAGCTCAGGGTCGTTTCTATCACGCGGATCAGACGAGGTGGTGGCTTCAATCGAGAAGAGAATATCCGACTTCTCGCACCTGCCTGTGGGTGAGTAGCTGGCTAGGTGGAATAGAGGAGGGGGGAGGGGGAGGGGTACGGACCATACCATGCGGTGCTGCCGGGTCGTTTGGGTCGCGGGGATCGGACGAGGTGGTGGCTTCGATAGAGAAGAGAATATCCGACTTGTCGCACCTGCCTGTGGGTGAGTCGCTAGGTAGCTGAGATTGCGGTGAGAGTTGAGTGAACTACCAGAAAGGGTCGGATAGTGATGGTGCTGTGCTGGAGGTGACGGAGCTGTCAAAGGAGGACAGGTGGGCGGATAGTGATGATGCTGTGCTGGAGGTGACCACATTGATAGAGGAGGGAGTAACCTCTCCCACCTGGCTGTGGGTGAGTCACTAGATAACTGGAATAGGGGGGGACATTAGATCATGCGGTGCTGCCGGGTCGTTCCTATCACGCGGATCAAACAAGGTGGTGGCTTCTATTGAGACGAGAATATCCGACTTCTCTCAACTGCCTGTGGGTGAGTCACTAGCTATGTGAGCTTTGGGAACTAAACAGATAGCCAGACGAAGGGGTCACTTACCCTTTCACTCATCCCTTCACTTACCCTTTCATTTGCCCTTTCACTCATCCCTTCACTTACCCTTTCATTTGCCCTTTCACTCATCCCTTCACTTACCCTTTCATTTGCCCTTTCACTCATCCCTTCACTTACCCTTTCATTTGCCCCTTTCTCTCATCCCTTCACTTTCCCTTTCATTTGCCCTTTCACTCATCCCTTCACTTACCCTTTCATTTGCCCTTTCACTCATCCCTTCACTTACCCTTTCATTTGCCCTTTCACTCATCCCTTCACTTACCCTTTCATTTGCCCCTTTCTCTCATCCCTTCACTTTCCCTTTCATTCGCCCCTTCACTCATCCCTTCACTTACCCTTTCATTTGCCCTTGCACTCATCCCTTCACTTACCCTTTCATTTGCCCTTGCACTCATCTCTTCACTTACCCTTTCATTTGCCCTTTCACTCATCCCTTCACTTTCCCTTTCATTTGCCCTTGCACTCATCCCTTCACTTACCCTTTCATTTGCCCTTGCACTCATCCCTTCACTTACCCTTTCATTTGCCCTTTCACTTGTCCCTTCACTTGCCCCTTCACTTACCCCTCCATTTACCCATTCACGTACCTCTGCACTTGCCTTATCACTTACCCCTCCACTTACCCCTTCGCTTACCCCTCATCCTATGCTCCCCACCCTACCAGACCACGGGGAGGCCATTCACCTGCTACCCTATGAGCCCTTTCAGGAGAACCAGGCGCTTCCACTCCCTCGCTTATACCCTGCCCATCCCACCAGACCACGGGGAGGCCACTCACGTATTACACTATGAGGCCTCCCAGGAGTACCAGGCGCACTTTGACTATTTCCATGACCTCGCTCATGGCCCCCCCCTCCCTCCCCTGCTCCTTGGTTCCCTGCTCCCCTGCTCCCCTGCTCCCCTGCTCCCCTGCTCCCGTGCTCCACTGCTCCCCTGCTCCCCTGCTCCCCTGCTCCTCTGCTCCCCTGCTCCCCTGCTCCCCTGCTCCCCTGCTCCCCTGCTCCCCTGCTCCCCTGCTCCTCGCCTCCCCCTTTCCCAACCTCATCAGACCACGGGGAGGCCATTCACGTATTACACTATGAAGCCTCCCAGGAGTACCAGGCGCACTTTGACTATTTCCACGATGACATCAACACGCGCAATGGGGGGCAAAGGCTTGCTACCGTTTTGATGTACCTGTGAGTGTAACGGGGGGGAGATGAGCTGTGACTGTAACGACAGGGATATAGTGAGAGAGGGGGGTTAAAGGGCCCTCTCGGGAGTACCAGGCGCACTTTGACTATTTCCACGATGATATCAACACCCGCAACGGGGAGCAGAGGCTTGCCACCGTTCTAATGTACCTGTGAGTGTAACGAATGGGAGAGATTGGGGGGAGAGGGACGGGTTTAGAAGGCCCTCCCAGGAGTACCAGGCACACAATCTGACTATTTCCACGATGACTCAACACACGCAATGGCTTTTGAGTCGACTTACAAGTCAGTTTTGAGTCGACTAAAAAATTTCCACGATGACATCAACACACGCAATGGGGAACAGAGGCCTGCTACCATGCTCATGCACCCATGAGTGTGGCGAAGGAGGGGGGAGGGGGGAAGGGGAGGGGGAAACCGTCTCGCTCCCTTCCTCCTCACTTCCATCTCTCCTTGGTGCTCAGCCCACTTCCCTTCCATCCGCCTCCCTTTAAGTCTCCTTTCTTCCAATTCACCATCCCCGCCTCCTTTTCAATTTCCCTCCCTTTCAATTCCCTTTCAATTCAGTTCCCCTTCCCGCTTTTTTTCATCCACCTCCCTTCAAGTCCCCTTTCCTCCATAGACGGTGTTTCCAGCAGCAGAGCTCACCTCAGCCAACATCCGGTCACCACTACCACCAGACTCTCGGGTGCACCGTGCATGTGGAATGCTGACCTGCTTTCACTGCCCTCCCCTGCTCACCTCCCTCTCTCCAGCTCTGATGTGGAGGAAGGGGGAGAGATGGCGTTTCCAGCAGCAGAGCTCACCAGAGCCAGCATCCACTCGCCACCACCGCCGGACTCACTCACAGCTCTTTTAGTGCGCCAAGGCCATGCCATCCAACTCCGTCTCTCCTTCATTCCCTGCCATGCTTTCCCCTTTGTCTTTCCAGATCTGATGTGGAGGAAGGGGGAGAGACCGTGTTTCCAGCAGCAGAGCTCACCCCCGACAACATCCACTCACCGATACCACCAGACTCGCAGCTCTCTCAGTGCGCTAAGGGCATGCTCGCAGTGAAACCCAAGCGGGGCAACGCACTGCTGTTCTGGAACCTCAAGCCCGACACCACGCTCGACCCCAAGAGCTTGCACGGTGAGTCTTCTGTTAGCCCCTCACCACAACCCTAATAACATACACACGCAGTTACCACCGGACTCGCAGCTCTCCCAGTGCGCCAAGGGCATGCTCGCAGTGAAGCCCAAGAGGGGCAATGCCCTGCTGTTCTGGAACCTCAAGCCCGACACACTACTCTCGATCCCAAGAGTCTACACGGTGAGTGCTGCACCTGCCAGGCCTCACCACCATACACTCAGCAGCACTGCTACTGCCAGCAACGCGCTGCTGTTCTGGAACCTCAAGGCCGACACACTACTCTTGACCCCAAGAGTCTACATGGTGAGTGTTACACCCCTTGATGATGAGCCCACATACCCACAGCCGCACTGCTACCACAGGGCTTGTACTGACAGTGAAGCCTAACAGGTGACTTTTGAGTCGACTCAAAAGTCACTGCTACCACAGGGCTTGTATTGACTCAGTGAAGCCTAAGAGGGTGCGTTGCTGTTCTGGAACCTCAAGGCCGACACCACGCTCCACCCCAAGAGTCTCCATGGTGAGTCTTATGTTACCCGCACAGCCAGCCAAAGAGTGGGTTTCACGATGAATAGGCCATGGCACATGGTAAAAACTGTGTTTCAAGTGCGAGTTGGATGTGTCTTTTTGGAACGATGAGGTGTGGATTCGGATTGTTTTTTGTGCATTTGTTTGTGCTGAAGCGTTCCCGGTCAATTCCGTTTTATGTGAAGCATCGTTTAACATAGCTCCTCTTGTGTGTTTCCATATTGTCTGTCCATCTCATAACAGCTGGGTGCCCAGTTATTCGCGGAAATAAGTGGAGCGCCACCAAGTGGATTCGTGTACAACCTCGACATGGACAATATTGATTTATACAGTGTAGTAATATGGGCCCTCATGAGAGGCTGCCCCTCATTCAGTCAATAGTAGTGTAAAGACATTATTTTCTTGCAGTTATGAGGTTTCGAATTTGATCGTCAAATTGGTCCTGAATAATAACGAAGTGCGCGTTAGCGTGGTGGAAACTGACTTCAGTCATACTCGCAATCAATCAGTAGAGCCTTCGTTCGAGACCAAGTCCTTCGTAAGCCATGGGGGCCCCATGCGATTCATTTCACAGATCCTGAGTACTGAAGTGCTTTTTGGCCGCTTGATTGAGTATCTTTATTTGTACACGTATACGTTCCGAGCTCTGTGGCACATTGAGATTCTACTGTAGCGTCCGCGTTTCAAAGTGAATCGATACTAGGCCGCAGTCGCCGGCAAAGCAACGCTCGAAGGGCAGCGTCGGCGTCCCGGCTTCGAGTGGTCACCTCGAACGTCGCGTCAGAGGCCGACGACTCTTCGAGGCGCTTCGCGAGTCAAAGCAGAGGTGACTCTTGAGTCGACTCAAAAGTCACCTCGCTAGAAGGGCGCGCGTGCGCGTTAGAGGCCGACGACACTCGAGGCACTTCGCGAGTCGCGCCAGAGCCCGACGACCCCTCGGGCGGCCATGGCGGGTGTTGGCGGCGCGTTCGGGGGGAGCCGGTCGTTGCAGCCTGTTCCCCCGGAGAAGGGCGTGTTCCCATTGGATCACTTTGGGGAGTGCAAAGAGGTGAGTTGCGGTTGTCAGGAGTGATAGGCAAGCATTACCTCGGAGAAGGGCGTGTTTCCACAAGACCACTTTGGGGAGTGCAAAGAGGTGCGATGGTGTAATGGAATATGTGAGAGCCGGATGGGCTTGATGGGTGCGATGCGTGTTCCCATTGGACAACTTCGGGGAGTGCAAAGAGGTCCAATTGGGCTATGGGAGCGACAGCCGAGCATTTCAAAAGTGGTAATTACTGGCTGATCCAATTTAGAAAGTCAAGGCATTGTTTCGCTCCTACGCTGGGGTACATACATGTCTCGCTATTGAGTGATTCGGGACCCCATTTAAGCACGTAGAAGATTTGAGGCAAGCTCCTGGGGGGGTTTAGCAGGACAGCCAACTGTCTTCCTCCTTACTCGTGTGTCCTGCCTCTCTATTGAGTGATTCAGGTGTGCAAGAGTACATGACGTACCGAAAGCACCACAATTTATGCTGGATGCCTTGTTATTGAGTGATTCAGGTGATGCGCGAGTACATGGAGTGCCTGAAGCAGCACGGCAACCAATCAGACAAATGCCGAGACATTGCAAAGAAGTACCTGCAGTGCCGCATGGACAGGTGGGCTTCCCTTTTTTCACCTTCTATCGCTGTGGTTTAATGCACTTGAGGAGTTGATGGGGTGAAAGGTCCTCTTTAGGTAGCAACCAGTCAGACAAGTGCCAAGAAATCGCAAAGAAGTAACTCCAATGCCGCATGGACGAGTGAGCTTCCACTCTCACTGCATTGCAAAGCCTCTCAGAGGAAGTTGCCGAGTTGGGGAAAGTGATAAACAGCCAAGACATTGCAACGAAGTATCTCCAGTGCTGCTTGGACAGGTGAGCTTCCATCCATCCTGCCGCCTTCCAAACCCAAAGCACTTGAGGAATCGTTGATCTCGAGGCACTTGAGGAATCTTTGATCTCGAGGCACTTGAGGAATTGTTGATCTCGAGGCACTTGAGGAATCTTTGATCTCGAGGCACTTGAGGAATCTTTGATCTCGAGGCACTTGAGGAATCGTTGATCTCGAGGCACTTGAGGAATCGTTGATCTCGAGGCACTTGAGGAATCGTTGATCTCGAGGCACTTGAGGAATCGTTGATCTCGAGGTGCCTTCACAATCGGCAACCTATCAAACATGTTCCGAGTCATAGCAAAGAAGGAGTTTTATTGCCACATGACCTGTCCTTCCTGTTCCCCGTGTCCCCCGTGTCCCCCCTGCTCCCCCGGTCCCCCCTGTCCCCCCTGTTCCCCCTGTCCCCGCTGTCGCCCCTGTCCCCCCTGTCCCCCCGCCCTCCCCTGTTTCCCCTGTACTATCGCTTCCCTTTCTCTCAACAAACACTCAGCTACCGTATGTCCCCCCCACCCTGTGTTCCCCTTGCTCTTTCAATGCCGTACCAGGAACCTCATGGCACCTCAGAACTTGTCAGAGCTCGGATTTGGCTCAGCACAGGCCACAGGAGAAGCATCCTCAGCAGGAAAAGCAACTGTAGGGCAACAGACTGCTGAGGCTGAGGCATCGGCAGCAGCAGGTGCTTCGGCAGATGGCTCAAATAGCACCACAAACAGACGAGAGGCTCGAGGGTTTATTGCTGGAATTAATCCTAGATAGTATTCTCTATCATGGAAAGCCAGTGCTTGGTGCTTACGGCCACAAAGGCAGCTTTGGGAATTGCTCTCAAAATATAAAAAGGCCGGTTAGTGCTCAAAGTGTGTAGTGTACTGCACTTCATATTCTAGCCAGATGATAGGCTGATGGTACACTTCATACTGTTGAGAAAGACACTTCAGTACCTTACCCTGTTCTGTCTTGTATACAATGTCAGATACTCTCGCCTTCAAATACCAGCAAATACATTTCATTTTACATTGATGAATCGCTTTGCACAATGCACAAGCCAGCTACATCAGCAATGCACAACCCGTAACAGATGGCAGGCGTGCAGAATGCATTTTCCATAGCTGCTCCAATAATGGTTTCTGTATTTGCTTCAAGGCTCCATATCTCCTGGTGTTGACACACCATCTGCTTACTTGTGCTGTAAAGCGCACAGAAATGGGGATACGAGAGAGGCACATGGCATGGAATACATCAAATAAACGTTGGCCACAAATAGTGCATGGGATACTACATCAGCTGACATTGGCATCAAGCATGAGCGTACACAGCACATGAGGGCTCAATGATGATGACGCGTGATGTGAAAAGTGACCGGGACAATGATGATGAAGCGAGACATAATCATGCTGCATTGTTGATTAACATGATGGAATTACAACGCAGCAGTGTATCCTGATGAAGCCAACGTCCTTGGTGTACGTGCAAAAACATTGTCAGCTGCGGCTATTGTGGTTACCTTAGCATGCCAATGTTTGTAGTTTCTTAGAGCATACATAGGAGTCATGTGTACCTTGATGAAGCCAACGTCCTCGGGGTAAGTCCGGAAGCACTGAGCAGCAATTGAGGTCAACATGGTATCTTTACTGTACCAAATTACTGTAACATCATACAGCGCATGATGCTATAAACAATATCCGCAATATTACTGTACCTTGATGAAGCCGATGTCCTTGGAGTAGGTGCGGAAGCACTGGCGGCAGCAGTTGAGGCCATACTTGCGGATCATGCCGTGGCAGTTACCGCACACCCGGCTGCCAACACAGAGAGACAATGGAGGGAAGAGGGAAGAAAGGGGGTACATCAATGCCAACCTGAAGGATCGTGCCGTGACAACCACCGTACATCACTTTTGAGAATTCTCAAAAGTAACATCGAGAATTCTCGAAGGCAGCCATTGCTAATGTAATGACACGAGCGAGGGGAGGGGAGGGACCAACGGTAAGTAGCGAAACGCGAGGGGCGGACGAGGAGGGAGAGCAGGACACACGAGGGGAATTTGGAAGTGTTTGCAAATGGTCGAAATACAACTTGAACCCAAATACGAGAAACGGGCGAGAGGTGGGCGAGATAGAGGGGAGAATGTCACTGATACGAAGGGGCTATTAGAGAATAGATCGGGTAGCGAGACAGCTGTATGCACTACGGGTGTGCAAAGCGCATTTCGGATCATACCCGTCACTAACGAGCTCGCGAGCCAATTAAAGCGCATATTAAAGCGCTGGTACACGGATCAGACGGATCAGTGCAAAGCACGACAAAATCATTTTCAATCATTCTCGCGCGCCAGAAATAGCCGGCGGTAATTCACCACTTATTGATACCCTCAATGAAAACCTTTCGCGCAGAGTAACGCGTAACCTCCGGGCTCACAACAGGCGAGATCCACGTGTACTCATCCTAACCCTAACGGTCAACCACCACTTTACCGTAACCTTTTCCAGCCACCAGAGGGAGGTAACCTCCACGTGTATTCATCTAACCCTAAAACAAGCCACGCAGCACCGACACAGTACCCGGCGCATTAACGGTCACTGACCAACATTGACGCTGACTGATAAGGGGCGTGCCCCAGGAGACTGCTTCTTGGGGTGCGAGTTCCAGACCTTAACGGTAAACCAGCACTCCCCTGCAACCTTTTTACGAACGCGCGGCACTCCCCGTAACACTGACTTACCCCGCGCGACACTCCCTGTAACAGTGACTGACCAGCACTTTATCCAGCGATGTAACGCTGTGGCGCGCGATACTCAATGCAACGCTGGCGTACCAAAGGCGCGCGCCAGGAGAGTGCTTCTTCGGGTGCGAGTTCCAGACCCTAACGGTAAGCCAACAGTTTTCCCTAACTTTCACCCAACCAAGCAATAAGGGAATCTACTGACCAGAGGCGCGCGCCAGGGGAGTGCTTCTTCGGGTGGGAGTTCCAGACCGTCTCGTGACCCATGGTGGCTCGCGGGAATCGACGGTGCCGCTGCAAAGAGCACAAGAATCCGACGGCACAGATGCAACGACGCGACGTGAGAAACTCCTGCTTAAGTGGCGCAACGGATGGCGTGACACGTGGCGGATCGCTACTGATTAACAGTGTCAAGTTCAGGCATAATGCACGAACAGGCAGGGACGGTCCAATCAACGCCTAAAACCTGAGCGACTCTTCATAAAAAGACTAAAACATACTTTAGGACGAAGCGATAGAGCCGCATAACGACCTAATTAAAGGCGGATCGCGTAATAAACGAACCTTAGGGAGGCAGGGAGAGGCGAGAGCGAGTGTGAGCGGAGAATACGCGAGCTGAGAGGAAGGAAGAATGGAGGCGAGTTAGGGTTTTCAGGGGCGGGGAAGGTGGCCGAGCAGGAGAAACACACATTGAGCGAAAACGCTTCGTTTATTCAGCAAGTGTTATGACATAATGGTATTAGGGTGTACCTCCGTGATGCTGTTATTTGCCCTGTACAAAATGCTCCTCTGGTGCTTTATCAAGGATGGCGCTGATTGATGATTTACTTTGCAGTGGAAGGACTTTCTGGGATTCGCGTTGTCAGCTGGTCTGGAGCAAGGGAAGAGCGAAAAGTAAACACATATTTCGGCGTGTTCTCTACCTGCAAATAAAGGACTTTCTGTCACCGTGGTTTTTGTGTCACAGCTTCTCCATATCGAGGACTCGGGTTTGTGCATGAATCATCCTCCTTATAGGACGCGAAGCGCGTCAACTTCAGTGGTTCCAGCCACTTTCAAGGAATACCCCACATGGTCATATTTTTTCACGTGCCACGGTACTGTATGGTGCGCATAAAAGCTATTGAAACCGCACTGAATGATGAGTAGGCACCCTGAGGAAGCACATAGATGAGCATCTTGCGTGAAATAGCACCTACCCAGCAAAGTTCATAAAATTAGTCGCTAGAGCAACATAGCTGACGCATGCGTTATCTCGAGCTTGCATAAGGCCTTCCGAGCCGTCGCGCAGGTCTGCTCGAGCAATGAGTGCCATGCATTCGTCCGCTTTCCGAACGACATTCGTGACGCCTCTACCCTCCTCGTCAGCGTCATACCGTAATCGGGTAACCCTATGTCGCACTGCCGCATCACCGTTTTTGCAGTCGGAGCCGCGACGCGTCGCGCGACAAACGCAATGCCGCGCGAATCGTGGCGGAGATATCCCGGACACGGATTGGATGACGAGGACCGACCCGTGGGAGCTGCTAGGCGTCGCGGAAGGGTCCTCCGTCGATGAGATTAAAGCAGCCTTTCGCGCCAAGGCAGGTGATGTGACACGTGGCGTATTGATTTTGGCGACGAGGTGCCGAGACGATGTATTCGTTCGTTGCTGTCGGATTTGCATCCGTTTACGAATAGTATCCGTTTTCGAATGGCATTCGTACTACACCAGCATGTCAGGCATTCTTTTCTCAACTGCCATTTCTTTAACGACTAAAAATGAACGGCATCCGTACTCCTCCTCTCCATTCTCAACCGTCAGATCAAGAACGTCCATCCCGACGTGTACCGAGGGGAGTTAGACGCTGAGGCGATCACAACCCGCCTCGTGCTCGCCTATGAGGTGAGCTACCCGCACCCTCACGCCCTCCCTCCCTCACACCCTCGCACCCTCACACCCTCCCTCCCTCACACCCTCGCGCCCTCACACCCTCGCGCCCTCCCTCTCTCCCTCCCACCCTCCACTCGTGCTCGCATACGAGGTGAGCCGCTCCCTTCCCTCCCACTCTCCAGCTCCCTTCCCTCCCACTCTCCACTCGTGCTCGCATATGAGGTGCACCGTTCCCACTCCCACCCTCCCACCCTTTCACCGTCCCCACCTTCTGCGTCCACTCTCCACTGCTCTTATTCTTCCCCTTGCACGCTCTCCTCTTTCTCCTCCTCCCTCCTCGCTCCGCCTTCCATTCTCCCACCCCGCCCGTCGCCCCCACACCCCCCCTCTCATGGTCTCATGTTGTATTCCCCGCTTCCTCTTGCACATGCTCGTTTTTTGAGTCGACTCAAATCACCCCACAACCCCCCTCTCATGTTCTCATTCTGTATTCCCCCGTTCCTCTTGCACATGCTCATTCCCCCCAGTTGCTTCTAGAGGAGGCGGAGAATCCTACGGGAGGCAGAAGGTGAGCCGATAACGAGGTGACCTTAGAGCCGACTCAGTCGTTTCTTGCAGTTGCTTCTAGAGCAGATAAAAAACCCTGCGGGAGGCTCCGAGGCAGAAAGTGAGATAGCATGCATGGATGTGCCAGAGCTCATGAGTGTCTGTACACATGCGTGCACGTGCATGCATGTGCGCGTGCCCATAACCATGTGGGTTGATGTGAAATTGTGCAAGTGCAAGTAAACTAAAATAACGCTTGGGCGCTTGTGTGCGTGCTTGCTTGTGCACGTGCGTGTTTGTGTGTGTGTGTGTGTGTGTGTGTGTGTGTGCGTGCGTGCGTGCGTGCGTGCGTGCGTGCATGTGTGTGTGTGTGTGTGTGTGTGTGTGTGTGTGTGTGCGCTTGTGTGTGCCTATACGGTTGTGCTGCCTGTGTGAACGTGTGCGTGCAGATGGAGGAGGGAGGAAGAGGAAGAGGAGGAGGAGGGGGATCTATGGCCCTGGGTCAACGAAATTCGTTGCCTTGGTCAATGTGAGTCAACGCCAGCTCATCAACCTCCATCTCTGCTCCTCACTACCTGCTCCTCGTTTGCACCCTCTTTTGCTTCTCCTCAGTTTCCCCCCCGCTACAGCCTGCCGCTACAGCTGCCCAGTCCGCCTGTTCCCTGTCTCCTCCACCACAGCCTCTCATGACAGCTGCACTGTAGTTGCTCTCTTTCGAACTCTTGCAAGCACCTCTTTCCCCTCGCTTCCCGCCCCCCCTGCTTCAACCTGCCTCTCTAGCTGCACTTTGCAAGGAATATTTTTTCCGTTTGCCTGTTCTCACCCCTCGACCCTTACAGCATGTCACTACAGCTGCACTATTGCTGTCTTCGTTTCCTAGTCTCACACACTCCTTCTCCCCCCTTCCCCCCACTCCCCCTTTTTCCCCCTTATGCTACAGCCTGTCGCTCCAGCTGCATAGTGACAGCGCCCTTCCTCTTCTCCTATGCGGAGGACACTGCCAGGGCCCGTGCCATGTCCCCTGATGCCTTCCAAGGTAAATGGTGCTGGTGGGTGCTACAGCCGGTAAGCGCTACAACCCCTGTCGCTACAGCCTGTCGCTCCAGCTGCATAGTGACAGCGCCCTTCCTCTTCTCCTATGCGGAGGACACTGCAAGGGCCCGTGCCATGTCCCCTGATGCATTCCAAGGTGCGTGGTGTGGTAGGCGCGACGGCCTGTTTCTGCTACAGCCTGTGGCATTTCTTGCATGTTAGTCAATAGCATTTGCCAGGGCCCGTGCTGTGTCCCCTAAGACAGCATTCCAAGGTAGGTGCTGGTATGCATTACTGGGTGCATTGCATGCTCTCTGATATCACAGCATTGCAATGAAATCTGAGAGCATGGTTTCCGGAAAGTGCTTCCCAGGGTTTGTCTGCGTGGCAATGTTATGAGTTCCCTAAACCATCTCATTGTAAGTGTACACTGTTCTGAGCACAACCAAAATATGTTTCAGGTTCTGCTATGTGATGTATCACTGATATGCTCTTTGGCTGTATTCACTTGATGTTTATACTGCCTCTGTTTATAATCACATTGCTACTGTGCAGGGTGGACAGTGGGAGGGGAGACTAAGGACAGGGCTCGTTACTGTGTCAACCTGGCTGTGGGACAATGCCCGGAGCTTTGTATACACTATGTAACGTCTGCACAACATGCTGAACTAACTGAGAAGCTTCAAGGGTATGTGCTGTTTGTGGTAATTGGGATGTTGTTTTTATTTTCTTCTTATTTTGCTCTTCCTCGCATCACCCAAGCCACTTGTTGATCTTTTTGTGCCCTTTTTTTATGTTGTCCTCCTTTTTACAAAAATTGTTGTGCCCACCCGCTTATCCAATGTGCAGGATTGTAGATGGGATGGTACCCTTGCAAGAAGGTGCTTTTGACATTCAGGCATACATAGCAAAGGCCACGTATGATAACAATCGTCGACCACGGCCAAAGCGAAGGCCTAAAGCAGAAGGCGAATATGTGGACTGGTACTAGAAAGTTGGTCGTGTTTTAATTACTGGTCTTGTAATCTATGTCAATTCTGTATTGGAGTTTCGACTGTATGATCAGCGCAATCTGATCCAATCTGTCAAATGGATATGTCCGTAACGCTCAACCTCCTGCGATGCGACGCCGCAATTTGACGTCACTTTCAGCTCATTCCTCCAATCATCCTTGCACAATCGTGCATGGAAGCATCCTCACCACACCACCACCAACCTCGGTGGAGATTTACTCCGGTTGTTACCCTCCGTCAACACAATTTATTAGGGATAAAAGTTACTGATTTCTAGAAGGGTCCCTGATTTTTGCTCATCACATTTTTGCTCATTTTTGCTCACACATTTGCATAGCAGCCCACACAAACCTCGAAGGGACATGTGATATTTGCATAGCAGCCCACACAAACCTCGAAGGGACATGTGATTTCCCATGTAAATTCCGCCCTGGTTTTTTTTTAAGCCAGGATCTCAAGTAGTTCAATTGTTTTGCAGTTGGTGAGGGGAGCTGGGCTGCGATTGGTTAGCGAGGTGAACAATCTGACGAGGTGTGAAGCGAGGGGTGCGAAGTAAAGACAAATCGCAAGTTCAGTCCGAACCAAGCAAGGCTCGGAAACTGGTTCGGTGACGAAGCTCCAATGCCTGCAATTTCTCGTCACACACAACAATCTCATGTACCAGCAAAATGTTTTGCATTTGCTCTAGGGGCAAAATCGTGGGTGTGCCGCCGCTCACTTTCCTAACCAGCCAGTCAATTCGCCTACAAAAATAGGGTAACAAGCGCTGCAAGTGTTTTGCAATTGAAGGCCAGTTCTCTTACTTAACCGAGGAGCAAGCGTACAACACCAAGAACGGTCGTAACCGTGCGTGAGGAGCAGGGCAGACCCTACTCCAAACGAGACACACTAGGGCACGCTGGAACCCTGGTGAGTTTCCTTGTGAGTAATGGGCCCTGTTTGGTAGCCACCCAGTCACACTGCGGTTGGTGCATGTGATCTTCCTCGGCCCAATTTCAACTTACCTTAAAGCCCACCAAATCGTTAGTAGAACACCATACCTGCCCAGTGCGATTTGGCTACCGAACGCGTAAAAAACCCAGTTGGAGTGAAGTTGAGGACGCTACCACGAAAATGCTTGCTCAGGCAAGCTCGACCGTCAGTGAAAGTCAATCCCATTTCTGCTTTCCAGTTCCACTCAGGCAGGCCCGCTCTGAGTGGCATGCTGCAGGGTAAACGCTGCATTAGTTTCGAATCGGGTCAAATTATGTCTTTCAGCCCGCTCGTTCAAACGATGAGAGATCGTGCCCGTTCGTGATTTTCTTTTATCCATATCGAGGGTTTTCCATTTGGCGGGCTGTTTTTTGTTTGTGAGCTGGGCAGCCTCGTACAGAAGTAAAAGTTTCGACAAGTAATTTCTCGAGAAATACACGGTACCTTCTTGCATTTTTGGAGGAGATTTCCTTCCAGTGTGAGTGGACGCCCGAGGCTACGAAACATGTCGTAGGCTTCTCCAGTTCGAGTGGGCCCAGTGTGACTGGAAGGCTACCGAACAGGGCCATGAATTCTGTGACCTGACCAAACGAGGTGAGGTGAATTGCCTTTCCCATTTGAGAATTCCGAGCCTTGACATTTTCGAGATTCGGTCACTGATGAGCTATCAGTTTCCAACCCACGTGGCAGATCTAACGTCTGCCACTGAGGCAGCACGAAGCTCGGCGTTCCCGAAAATTTGGGAACTCCAATACTGGTTCTCTTCGTCGATCATATGTGAAGTAGTTGGAATGAGCACCAGCATTTCCATCACGCTGGAGAGGAAACTCAGAAGCTGGTTTTGTTGAGATGAGATTCAACTGATTGTAGGCAATGTAGGGACGTCTTTAGAAATCCCACTATTTTGCTCCTTTTCTCGAAATAGCACAGTCAGCATTGTTGTTTGGCGTTATCAGGCGGACACTCGTTGATACTCTGATCTTGCTTGGATTTCTAGGCCTCAGATTAACATGTCCCGTTGCCATTGCCAGTCTCTGATTGATTTCGTTCTTGCCGCATTCTCCAGCAGCAAACCCTACAATTTCCGCATTGCATTCCGTCGGCTGATTGTGTGAATTCGTCTCACTTGAAGCCTTCCACGCTGGACTCGTTAACGCCGGTCTCGTTAAGAAGCTGGCTGCTGCTAAGTGGGGGAGAGCAGCGTCAGACCCCTGATCACTGACATCCGCGATACTGACCCTACCGATTCGCTGAAACCAGTGCGATTAACGAGACTTACGAGCAGTGCGACGTCCAACACTGACACCAGTGAGCCACTGGCTGACACCCTAAGCTAATAACGCTGACTGACACTCATAAGCCACAGGCACATGCGTTGCGCTGGAGTGAAGGCAAACCCGGCAGCGTGTTCGGCATTTCCGACCTCCTCATTCCCGAGACATCGAGCCGTCGACGTATTGCCGGATCCGATGTTTCTGCTGTGCGCTTTTTGACACTGCGCTATAAGCAGCTGCGATCCAAGCAAATGCGTTACTAGCAACTCGCTACCAGTAGCTCACTGCTAGCATTTTGCGCTATTACCAACGCATACCATTTGACTTACAGCTGAACGTCACTCGCCAGCCCGTCATCTGATCCCTAACTTCACACTTAGACTCGTTAAGCAGCGGCTTATAACGGATCCGCCATGGCTGGAAGTATCGTGAACATTCCTGGTATCACCAGCAACGGCAGCACGGCCGCGCTATTCCACCTCATCCTCCCTCAGCGATACGTGATCGTGCTGCTAACGCTGGTCTGCTCCGCCGTGTGCTACATCGAACGTGTCGGGTTCTCTATCGCGTACACGGCGATCGCGATCCGCGAGGGAGTGGATCAAGCGACCAAGGGATGGGTCATGTCGGCCTTCTACTACGGATACGCATCGTCGCAGGTACGCCGCACTCTCTACCCTTGGAAAACAAGGGAATAACATATTTCTACCCTTTTTAAAGAAGCTCCCACTGTACCCTGGTTTGAAGGGAGTGAATCAAGCGACCAAGGGATGGGTCGTGTCGGCATTCTACTACGGATACGCATCGTCGAAGGTAAGGCGCCCTCACTATATCTGAGAAAATTGGAAAAACAACTCGTGACAGGCAAGCCCTCCAGCTTCCGTCAGTCGCAAAATGCTCAATAACAACTCAGAAACCCGGTGCAGGTACATCCTCACGTACTCGTTTGTAGCCTGCTCCGCTGCTTGCTATTGCCATCTGATATTCCCCGTCCTCTCGTCTCCTCCATTTCCCCCTTCTCTCTCAGGTCCCTGGCAGCTGGACATCTCAAAAGTATGGCGGCAGGCTCGTCCTTACATGCTCGTTTGTAGCTTGCTCCGCTGCTCCTAATTGCCATCTGATCTTCCCCGTTCTCTCCTCCTTTCCCCGCCTGCTCACTCGCTCCCAGGTCCCAGGCAGTTGGGCGTCCCAAAAATATGGTGGCAGGCGCGTCCTCACATACTCGTTTGTAGCCTGGTCCGTTTTATGCGTTCTCACGCCCACCGAGTCACCCCCTGACAGCACTGGCAGCGGCCCCAATACAGTCACACTCGTAATAATCCGCCTGCTAGTAGGCATCGCCCAAGGATTCATATTTCCCGCTATACACACCGTCTTGGCTCAGTGGACCCCCCCTCACGAGAAATCTCGCGCAGTGAGTCTGTCTATGTCGGGGATGTACCTAGGAGCAGGCATAGCCATGCAGATACTACCCGGATTAGTAGCTTCTAGAGGGCCCGAGTCGGTGTTCCAATTAGTAGCAGCCATGGGCGTCGCGTGGACTATTTTATGGGTTAAATATGCGACGGATCCGCCTGGCGGGGCGACAGCGTTCGCGCATGTGCCTGTGGGGGGCGGCATGGGGGGGCATAAGGGAAGTGAAGCGGAGTTGCTTCCGCTGGTGAATGGGGAGGGGGAACGGGGGAGAGTAGGCGGAACAGGGTTGGAATCAGAAGTGGTGCATAGAATAGGGGGAGGCGGAGGCGGAGGGGGAGGCGCGGGGGGGGGCAATGGGGGGAGTGGCGGAGGGGGGGGAGGCGGGAAGGGAGGGGGACTAACATCAAGCACAATCTCCGCGTTAGGGCTAGGGGCAAAAGGGGGAAGCGAGGAGGAGGAGGAGGATGAGGAGGAGGAGGAGGAGCAGCAACGGCTAAAGAGACTCGGTCAAGGCTTCGCCTCAGTCCCCAAACACCTCAAAACGTCATACAAGCCGTCGCTAATTAAAGACCCTCCTATTCCCTGGATACCTATCCTTACCAGCGCACCCGTGTGGGCCATAGTAGCTAATAACTTCACCTTCCACTACGCCCTATACGTCCTTATGAACTGGCTCCCTACATACTTTCACCAGGCTTTAAACACCAGCCTGCACAACGTAGGGTCCGGGAAAGCCATGCCTTACTACATAATGACGCTCTTTTCCAACATAGGAGGTGTACTGGCGGATCACTTAATCGCGAAACGGTACCTGACTGTAGGGGGGACAAGAAAGGTCCTCAACACTATTGGATTCTTCGCGTCAGCAGTCGCCCTAGCCCTCACCCCCGTTCTTAAATCCGTGAACGGGGCTGTTCTTTGCTCCTCTCTCACCCTAGGCGCTTGTGCAATCGCCAGGGCAGGGTTTGCAGTGAACCACATGGATATAGCGCCTAGGTTTGCAGGAGTGGTGATGGGTGTGTCTAATACGGCAGGGACAATGGCAGGCGTGGTGGGTGTGGCGGCTTCTGGGTTGATTCTTGAGGCGTTTTCGGGTGGAGAGGGGTCAGGAGGAGTGGGGAGCGGTGGAGTGGGTGGTGTGGGAGGAGCAGGAGGGGGAGGGGGAGGAGGAGGGGGGATTGATCCAGGGTGGTGGTGGGTGTTCTTCACGCCAGCATCCCTGTGTGTGGTCAGTGCTTTGATATTCAATGCGTTCGCCACGGGAGAGAGGATCTTTGAGTGACATTCCTATTTGTGATTGGACTCAGAAATTGAGTGACATGCCTGGCAGAAGAGGTCGGAAATTCTGAGCCGGCTGACTGCCACGGGAGAGAGGGTCTTTGAGTTCCTTGTTTACTAGACCAGACCAGCTGCAGTGCGAATGAGCATGGGAGGGGAAGAGGTGGAGGAAGAGGAGGGCGGATTGATCCGGGTGGTGGTGGGTGTTTTTCACACGGGCATGCTTCTGTGTGGTCAGTGCAGTGCTCGTTAACGTGTTTTCCACGCAGGGGAGGGACTTTGAGTGACGTGGCTGGCTGGGTAGCTGGTTGGAAGACAAACGAGTGTGGAAGAGTGGGAAGGGATGGATTGGGTGCGGGGGACTCTGAGAGACTGATCGCTGGAAGAGACGGGGTGATGGGTGATTCTGAGTGCTTGGGTGAACTAATACCAAGCTGCTGGCGAATTGATTCCCCAGTGGTCAATGCCAGAGGGAAGGGAGATTGGAAGATCTGGAGGGTGGCAGAAGCGTGAATCCTCTTATGCATTCACACGTATCCTCTCAACCAACGCTAAACAAAAAAGCTCTCAATCCGTCTCGTTTCATGAGAGGCCTTGGTTGAGATGATACATGGGTGCCGAATCTGTGGCCATAGCACCTTGTGGGATTTGGCTGACTCGAGATGGTTTGGTGGGTGAAAAGGATGGTGGTGGCGTTTTTGGGAATGGTGCCGTCAGCAGCAGAAATGGTGGCAGCAGCAACAACAGCAGCCGCGGCAGCGGCCGTGGCGGCAGCACCAGCACCAGCGGCGGCGGCGGCAGCAGTGGCGGCGGCAGCTGCAGCGGCGGCAACACCACCACCAGCACCACCAACAGCAGGTGAAGAGGCAGCAGAGAGTTGGGCCTCGGCGAATGTAGACGAAAGCTTCTTCAATCTCAGCAGCAGGAAAGCACGGCGGTCAGCAGAAGCTACACCCTCAGCCATGTTGGAGCCACCTTAAAGAATTCTCTAAGTATATGTCATTCTCATTATTTTGCGGGACGCTACTCAACTCCTACCGTACAACACTACTGGGTGCTCGTCGATTATCATTGCTTACTGGTACTGAACTCCTACAACACTTGTATGTTACGGTATCCCTATCTGCGATGCTCCTCAGGTGCTGTATGTGATAATTGCATGTTGAATTATATTGCATATCTTATAACTGCCTACAGCTAGCTAGTGTACTAGTTTAGGTATTAGCATCAACTGCTGGTGGTGTACCCTCCCTTTTGCCCATTCCTATATCTTGTATTCATTCCATAGTGAAACTCCTCTTTTGGCCAACCTAAACTCCCTCGATAACCATCTCACTATGCTACTCTCCCTCCAAGCTCCTAATCTCCCAATTTCTTATCTCAACATGGTATTAAGAGCTGGGTCCTTCTAAGGACCTTGTTATTTTTCATTCGCCATGGCTGCCATCGTTGCCATGGCGACCGTTGCTGCGCCCTTCGAGGCGCTCGCCCGTTGCCTGCCCCGCGCTGAACGCCCCGTGCTACCCGCCCCACGCGCTGGTCGCCCCGTCCCGCGCGCTGTCGCGTCGCCCCGTCGCTGGTCGCGGACGCCAGCACCAGCGCCTCTGACCGTCGCTGACGCCAGCGCGAGCGCCAGCGACGTGCGCCAGCGCCAGCGACTGTCGCGAGCGCCAGCGCCAGCGCCAGCGCCGGTCCCCAGCGCCAGCGCCAGCGTCAGCGCCAGCGCCAGCGGCATGCGCCAGCACCGGTCGCGAGCGCCAGCGCCAGCAGCGGCCGCCAGCGCCCCTGCCATCGCCACCCCGCTCCCCGCCTCCGCACCTGCCGTCGCTCTCTTCTACGGTGGACGTTGCGGGGGGGAGGTGGCGAGGCTCGCGCCCGCGGCTACGGGGGTGCTTAAGCCCCCTTGAACCCTCCTGCCCCTCCCTAATCCTCCTCCTCATCGCTGCCCGTGCATCTGCAGTTCGTGCCGCGTTTGGGGGGGGGGGGGGGAGAGGGTGTGGGGGTGGCGGGTATGTGCAGGCAGCCGCCTCCCCCTTCTCCTCCTCCTTCCGCTGCACTTCCTCTCCTCCTCCTCCTCTCCTCTCCTCCAGCCGCATCTCCTCCTCCTCTCCTCTCCTCCAGCCGCATCTCCTCCTCCTCTCCTCTCCTCCAGCCGCATCTCCTCCTCCTATCTCCTCTCCTCCAGCCGCATCTCCTCCTCCTCTCCTCTCCTCCAGCCGCATCTCCTCCTCCTCTCTTCTCCTCCAGCCGCATCTCCTCCTCCTATCTCCTCTCCTCCAGCCGCCTCTCCTTTGCTCTCCTCCTGTGCACCACCAGCAGCTTCCTCCTCCTCACCAACAGTTGTGTTTGCTCGTAGATGGCGAGCGACCAGCATCCTTCGCCCTCCGGCTATCCCAGCCCTCCTCCGCGCTCTCCGCGCCCTCCTCCGTCCTGGCGTTCACAGGTGCTGCCGGTCAGCCACCGCTGTTTCTGTGCCTATCCCAGCTACAGCAACCGCTCTCCAGGCGACCTGGTGCCAGGCACCACTAGCTATAGCCGTAGGCAGTTACGGGGGTGTGTTGAATTATATTGCATATCTTATAACTGCCTACAGCTAGCTAGTGTACTAGTTTAGGTATTAGCATCAACTGCTGGTGGTGTACCCTCCCTTTTGCCCATTCCTATATCTTGTATTCATTCCATAGTGAAACTCCTCTTTTGGCCAACCTCAACTCCCTCGATAACCATCTCACTATGCTACTCTCCCTCCAAGCTCCTAATCTCCCAAGTTCTTATCTCAACATTGCAAATGGAACCATGCGATGTGATACTATGACTGCCAGCCATGTGCTAGAACTGCCTCGTCTGTTAAGATATGGGCATGGCCCTATTGTTGCTAAGCAAGAGCCTATGAATGAACCAGAGCCTATGAGAGCCTATGACTGAACCTCATAAATCTCTCAGTTTAATGTGGTTTTGGTTGCAAGGTCTCCATCTCTCAGAGTAGTTACGCATGCCAGTCATAACTAACAACATGTCTCCATGGTGCGACTATTTAATAAAGTAATGGGAGTCACTATTGAAATTTCTCAATCATTAATTATGCTGGCAGGCTGAGGTTGAAACAGTAGGTGTGGTTACAGCAGCAGGAATGTGGTTACAGGAGCAGGGGCGTACATACAGGAACAGGGGTCTGGTCACAGCAGCAGGGGTGTGGTTACAAGAGCAGGAGTGTGGTTACAGCAGCAGGAGTGTGGTTACAGCAGGAGTGTGGTTACAGCAGCAGGAGTGTGGTTACAGCAGCAAGGGAGTGGCCACAGCAGCAGGAGTGTGTTTACAGGAGCTGCAGTGTGTTTGCAGCAGCAGGAGTGTGGTTACAAGAGAAGGAGTGCACAGAGAGCCAGGCTGATGCAGGCAAGGAGGTGGAAGACGGATCCTGTGGCTCCTGCAGGGGATTGGGAGAACCAAGGAGCAGGATTTGAAGGCATCTTCTGGAGTCATCAAGTGGCGCAATGCAAGAGGAGCACGTGCTCCGAATTTTAAGGTCTCGTTCAGATCACTCGAATGCACCGTGCGTGTGTGCGTGCGTGCATATGTGTGTGTGGGAGTGCAAGCGTTCGTGCCCCGCGCGTTCGTGCGGGCACGCGCGTGCATGTGTGCGTGCATGTGTGCGTGCTCGTACGTACCCGCATGCACGTCAAGAGCGTCCCTTGTATGAGGGATAAGAACAGCGTCGCTTCGATACACCACCACCTCGCTGCTGGGTATATCCAACAACACATCCCCACTCTCCACCAACGCCGCTGCATACCGCGTTCCATCATCCACCAGGTGACCATATCTGTTGACAAGCGTGCTTCTCGAGGCGCCTAAAAAATCGTCTCCATTCTCCACCAACGCGGCTGCATATCGCGTTCCATGATCATCTAACACGTGACCACAGCTGCTGATGAGCGTGCGTCTGGGGAACAACGAATCGCTGGCCTGCTGCTGAGGAGAGACTCCCGAGATGTTCCACATGCCGCCATAGCTTGGGTTGTATGAGATCCAGAGCGGTTGTCCATGCATAGTCGGAAGCTCCCAATGCCCGTCTATAGATGAGTACTGCCAATGGGTGATGAGGATCACATGCGCACGGATCAAAAGCGATTGCATGATGAGTAATTCTGCTGAAAACGGTCACCGTGACGAGAACGGCATTGGAATGAGTCACGGTGACTGTAGTAAGACTTGGCGTGCGGCGTGACTCACAGAATTACATCGGATTTAGAACGCCACGGTGCAATACGGCGGTGGAATGCGGCAGCGTTGGGATGCACTTCGCTCACCTCCCGGAACTTGTTCACTGCGGTCAACTGCGGTCAATTGCGGTCCAGGCATGATATACTGCGGCAGAGTCTCACCTTCTGCATCGCGACGGCGGGCGGGATGTATTGTTTCACAATGTGAAACTTCCAGATATCCTTCATCGCTTCCGCAACCGCCGCAGAGATGTTTTTCCCGACGACACACTGATCTCCTGACGCGCCCCCCTCGAACATGCACGCGAGAGCTTCCGCGACAGCCTGGTCGAACCTGCGCGTCGCGTTGTCGTGCTTGGGGTAGGAAGAAGACGCGGCGTATAAGGCGTCGAGCTGTGGGAGGAATATCGTCACGTTGGCGATGTCTTTGGTCCCGTCCAACGCGAATAGATGCTTTATGAGAGAGAAATGAATGTCATATTGCTGCGAGGGTGATTCTAAATCGGTCACGGGAATTGCGCGGGTGGGCGTAGGTAGCTGTGCAAGCGACGCGGCCACGAGCAGCAGTGCCACGCTGGTGGCGCCGAAAAGCTGCTTCGTAAATGAGCGGCTGGCCATTGCGGTTGTCTACGAGAATTAGCGCGTGCGCGAAATCCCTTACGCACCAGCATCTTTAGTAGTAAGGAAAATGTGGATCGAGTTTCTAGCAAGAAGCTAAGAGAGAGAGAGCGAGGTGTCGATTGCTGGTAAGTCGGAACTTGGGCGGGAAATGATTTGACAAGGG